AACACTTTTTTTTTTTTATTTCCTTTAATTTCTTTTGCGGGATTATCGTGGACGATTAATTATTGTTTTCTCTTTTGTGTGTTGCCGGTGTCCCAGGCTAGCGTTCTTGTAATGTTGTCAGATAGGTGTGTATTGCGTCTTGCCAATGTTTTCTTCAGTTGTTAGCACACTATCAAGATAAAGCAAAGTAAATATTTTTGCGTCCAATTAAACTTACTTGTAAGTCTTCAAATTGACTCGTAACAGCAAAAGAAGGTTTAGTAACTGCCTTCAGTTTTCTTTATTTGGTGTATTGGTTGAGGAGGTGAGGAGGGACCTGTTGGGTGTAGAAAAGTGACGTCAATTACAGCAACTTTCAATCTACATCTTTCGTGACCGCAACATTGGCCAGTTATTTCACGAAACAACACCCGTGCCGGTGTGGCCGGGCGGGTGGGGTGGGTACCGTCCTTTGATGGGACTATCATTCCCCAACCCTGCTCTCTAAGATTGTTACTCAGGCCCGCTTCTGCCTATTTTCTATTCCTTTAATTACCGAAGTTTTCTTCGAAAGACGCGCGCCATTTTCAGCTTATATAAACCGATTTTAAAAGAGGGTTTAGGGTTTTGCTGGAATGAGGGTAACGAGGTTGAAGTGTCCGAGAGTGATGACCCACATGCTTGGCTTAAGCTTGGCATAGCCCCGCCCACACCACAGTCAAGAACAAACAACCACGTATCGAACCTGCGACCAATGTGGCCAGGAAATAAGGCGCTACCATCTTAACTATATCTCTCTCTTTGGACTGAACAGAGGAAATTTCCTACAAATATTGATTATTTTTTGAAAAGTGATATTCAATACACACATCCTTTCCACAATATAATGTTGATTGATGGTGGAATATATCGAGTTTAGGAATAATGAAATCTTGCTCTGTTCGCAGACGATACTGTAATAGACGCAATGCATGCAGATATAAATGTAGCAAAAGATAACATCGAGGCGGATATCTCATGCTTTCTAAAGTGGGCTCAACAGTGAAGAATAAAAAATAAAAACCATCAAAACCCAGGGCAAAATTTTTACTCTTTGTAAACCAAAGTTACCTCGCCCACTAGTATTACATAATACTCTCATTCCGTGGCTAGTATCTTATACACCAATGAAATATCTTGGGGTCCACTTTGATAGCAGGTTAACTTGGAAAAAGCAGATTGAAGTAATAACCAATGCAACATATGCCAAAATATCAGGACTATATCCATTAATTAACTTCCTCTCAGCCTTAAATTTGGAATGTGCAATTATAATATTTAAATCTATTATTAGGCCTTCACTCACATGTGGCGTGTTCGTTCTGGAATAACACACCTAAAACCAACATTGAAAAACTTCAGATAATACAGAACAACTATTTAAGAAAATGTGCATAGACTCCTTTGTTCATTTCTAATACACACATTCAAAGAACGAATCATATAGAGCCCCTAAACGAGAATATAAGAAATAACCGAAATATTCTTTTACACCTCTTCCATCATCTCCTTGCAGTAAAAAATGACAAAGGGGAAACATTAAACAATTCCAAGAGAATAGGCTCACGATATCTGAAAGATATGTTAAAACCTCCATGAAAATAAATATCCACTTTAATGATGTATGTTTAAAATTTGTGAATTTCCACTCCAATATCAAGATAATTATTCAATGTATGTATAGGGCATCCAGGTTTAAGAATGAATATTGTATAGTAAAATTTGAGTACTGTGTTAATTTGAGTAATTGTTTATATATGTTATAAATATAAGTATGAAATCTTGTAAATTAGCTAGTAGCGGGGGGTTGTATGCCCAAATGTTATGTATTAAAAATAAATATGTACTAATTCTGAAAGGCAAAACTGTCGAACAGGAAAAAATAAATTAGGGACCCACAAAACATGGATTGCAGGTCGGGATGCCCGAGATCGCTAAGGCAGTAGTGCCGTAGCGATCTCGGACTGAAGGATCGCGGGTACGAGTCCTGCCTTGGACAAGGTTGTATTGTGTTCGTCCTTTCACACTCCTATCATCCTCATAGTTACCATACCATAGTCACCATCATCGTGTCATCCTCATAGTTACCATACCATAGTGGTCGCTAATGACCAAATAGTTGATGCGACCTTAAATGGAGGGGGGAAGCACACACACACACACACACACACACACACAAGGACATGGGTGATAGCTACATCACGTGTTAGAGGATTTTTTCTAAATTTAACTGGATTTTTCCACTTTTTCGTTATCAGAGCTCTGTAATAAGAAATAATATTGCCAAAAATTCGCGATTTACGTAACTTTCTCTTCTTAAGCACGAGAAAATAAAAAAACGCTGCACCAAGAATGACAAAACGGATTACGATAATTGTTGGTAGCCTTGTAGATGATACCACACAGACGGAATGATTACATGCCCCGTCGTGCATTAAGTACATACTGGGAATAGTTGACAACGAAATATATGGTAATTCACTTCTGAGAAAGTTGGGATATGCTGCAACGTTCAGTGTTTCAGGCAAATAATCATAAAAATAAATGATACCAAAGTACCGGCCCAATCATTTACAGAAATGCGTACATATCACGCCCAATAATGCTTATCTACAAATCAAATTGTGGAGTGAAAGTGCACATTTGTTTGCAACTGTTGCAAGCTACGATCTCGGCCACGTAACCTTGCACATTGTAAATGGTACTAGCAGAAACTTTTGTTCCGCAGCAGGCGCCAAGTCGTACATCATTGAATTGCTAATGAATATTGAATGAATCGTGTACAGTAGTTTCTTTTCGGCGGTCTGCAAAATTTTCTTCACACCATCAAGATTTTCCTAAGATCTCTCCCTAATGCTTTCGCCCGTATGAAACACGTTTCTGCAACTGACGTTCAGCAGCCTTGATATTCGAGCGAATAAGGAGCGAATAAGGCTCCCGACACACCGCTTTATTAGCGCTTCCGTGGCATTGACGAGTAGGAGAATAGTCTGTATTGACAAACGAATACCAAGCGTTAATTGCCATTATCTGCGGGACCATGTCTTTTTAATTATGCTCTCTAGAAGTGACTGACTTGTACATCATGCTCTTAAAGTTCAATGGCTGCCGAGGTGCAGAACGCGGAAAATGTCCTCAAAACGTTACATCAGCATAACAATTCATTCAGAGAATCTTCTGCTATTCATGTACAGTGAACTGGAACTTAGGAGTACTATTCCTCGCGGCGTAATTGACCAAATTGAAAAAAAATTGGACACTAACTAATAATTTTCAAGAATAAACGCGAGTGTGTTTAACATAATGAAGAAGTTAAGAAATAAAACACTGTTTGTGTTTTTGGCGTTAACCGCACAATTGAAATAACCTTCACATTAATACTAATGTCAAACTGTGAAAAAATAGAACGTTGAATTGGAAAAGGGCTTAGAAACCTTACGTGGCGGGCAGAGTCATCTACTCTTCACGGAGACTAGTCACAATCTAATGTAACTGAAATTTTGATGTTGTGCAAAAGCAAGTGCGTTGACCAATCAGATGAACTGATTCCAAAGATTTTAGATAGAACATTCGATCCTGACTTCGAGTGGATGTGCGGCCGCTGGCGAAGGCGCCGCAGTTTCCCGGATTTGGGCGCGGAGGCGCGCGTGTGGAGGTCAGCAATTGTGACCTGCCTTCCTGCGTCTGCAGTGGCAGCGCAGAAAGTGCACGCTTCCTGCTTCGATAAATACAACATGGCCAATTGCTCAGAATTAAATGTTTCTACAAAGAATGCAATTCGTACTAAAATGCCCTCGCAGAAAACAGAATTATAATTATAGTATGACATATGTAACAGTTAGTTCTTGTCTGAGGATCGATCGCGGACACCTAGTCAACACCCAGGTTCGATTTTAGAGATAAAGAATCTTGATTGAACTATTTGACATAAATGGTATAATTGTTGCTCATTTCATAATTCTCTTCCCCCAACGCCTACTCCCTAAATCCTCTCTCTGTCTACCTGTAAAATTGTAAACGTAGTGTTAGTCGTTGACTTTATGTTGGGCGACGGTTGAACATCTAACGTTAACATCAGATCGTTGTGTACTAGATCCTCATTTGAAATACATGTTGCGTAGGAAGAAACTTAAATACAGTAGCAGTTCATTAAAAATATTATGAAATTTAGTAATAAGAGATGCATTAATTAGCTTAAGGTAAATTCCGAGAAAAAGTATTGTTATTTTTTTCTCTTCCCACATATTTCTTACGTTGGTCTGGTTGCTATGGTTTCTTACGTCTTAATTGGTCTCATGTTGTCTGCTCTGAGCCATTATCTACCTACAAATGTGCATGGAATACGAGGATCTAGAAGGCGGTCACGTGCTGCAAACGAAAGGCCAATCTCGAAGCGAGTACGGTGTGTTCTGTGAGGCTGTTATGAGTCTACTGAACCCAATGTTCCCATACACACATGAAGGTCTGCGATCGTTTGTACCGCCTACTAAATTATCTGCAGCTGTATTGCCACTCTCCGAACGTCGCTGTCCGTTGGCCTCTCACTTGGGGTAATTGAAATAATAACGTCGAAAGTTCAAAAACTAAGCATATATATTGTTCCTGAAATCATACAACCAGAATCAATTGACAAACGTTACCTTCTCCGCTTCTGCTGATATCTTGTTACGTTCCTTTGAACCACCGATCAGCTTCGTGAATTACCTTTCAAGTTTTCGCCAACATCCAATATTCTGAAGTCGATACTAATTGGGTTTTAAATAAGAATTTTACATTAATAGGCTTACATTTCGGCGTCCATATTCTCGCGAACTCAACCCAGTCTCTCAAACAAACTTGCGTCCATAGTAATCAACGCTCCATCCCTCAATTATTCTTTACCACGATTTGATACAAGTCATACAAAATATATATTTTCAAATCGTAACAGCAACGCCGGCTCGTCGGTGTCGGCGGCGAGCGTGACGGTGGCGGCGGTGGAGGCGGCGGAGGCGGCGGCGCGCGCGGCGGCGGTGGCGGCGGCGGAGGCGGCGGTGGAGCGCGAGCGTGGGGCGCGCATGGCGCAGGCGGGGGACCTGGCGGCGGAAGCTGGGCGGCAGGGCGGCGGCGCTGGGGCGGCTGCAGGCGGCGGCGGAGGCGCGCGACGACGGGGTGGACGCCCGCCTCGACGACATGCAGCGCCAGGTGCGGCGCGCGCTCGGTGAGTGGGCACAGGGGGAGGGCGGCTGACTCACCGTATATAGTGACAATGCAGTTTGCATGTAAAATGCTACGAATCGTGTTACAATAAATTATTTACATTCTGATTTCAATATAAATAATGTAAAAATTATCACGAGAGAGAGAAGAGAGAGAGAGAGAGAGAGAGGACAGACAGACCAGACAGACAGACAGACAGACAGACAGACAGACAGACAGGCAGACAGACAGACAGACAGACAGACAGACAGAGACAGACAGACAGAGAGAGAGACTGACAGACAGACAGAGACAGAGAGAGAGAAGGGAGAGTGAGAGAGAAAGAGAATGACATATTAGAAAGAGAAAGACAGAATAAGCGAGAGAGACAGAGTAAGAGAGAAAAAGAGAGTAAGAGAGAATGAGTAAGAGACGGAAAGTAAGAGACGGAGAGTAAGGAGGGTAATAGTGAAAGGAGAGAGTGTAAGCGAGAAGGAGCGAAAGAGAGCACCTGACCAAAAAAATGGGAGGAGAGAGGACGAGAAGGAATGGAGGGAAATAATTTCCGGGCGTATGTAAAGATAAGGTACCGACATAAATGAACTCGTAACTAGGATTACTTAACACATTATACATTTATTGTTAGAAAATATATTAACAGAATATGACAGGGGGATTAAGATACTACAAAACACAAGATGTACGATTATGTGTTATCGGTAAGGATAGAATTGGGTCATTTTAAGTTGTGACAGAGCGCAGTACGTCTTGATCATACACTGACACACATACGTGATTGTCTTTCTGTTACTTCAAGTTCAGGCCGTAAACGAGGGAGAGTCGGAAATGAGATCGAGAATGCTTTCTAAGTTGACTCAACGGAGACAAAGGTTCTATTTTGTTTTTCTTTAGTCTCCATATCTTTTTCCATTTCCTTCCTTATTATACTTATCCTTTTCTCTCTTCTTATACTTATCTTCGTCTCGTTTTCTTTGCCTTTCCTTTTCTTCTTATTTTTTCTTTTTTCTCTCTTCTTATTTCTCCTCTTCGCTTATTTTTAATGCCTCACCCAACTCCTCCAGGTAATATTAATGTTTTTATAATTTCGAGATATCGCTGTTATTTGATACCGTAAAACGCATACACATCAAGCAGATTGCCTTATAAAGCTCTTACATTGATAGTCAACAGACTTTCGCGGCGTTTAGCTAAATTTATAAACTGATATTTCGATCAATTTCCTTTATTAATTAATCTTTATATTTATTAAAAAACATTTATGTTACATTTACTAGATTAAATGGGAAAAAATTCCCTTTCGAGAAATTGCTGGGCCTCCCGAAAGTTCCATTCGATCTAGATTTCTCTCTAGTGTAAGTGATAAACGTCACTATTATGACTGTGGTCGAGAAAATATAAATACAAATACTTGGAATAGTAACACAATGAATCACAATCTAAGAACGGAATGAGACTGTTGGTGCCGTGTTTCTGAGCGATAAGAAATCTCGTTTCCTGCCGGTGGGCAGTAGTCCGTCTCGTTTTTGTGATAACGTTTCAGTTCACAGAACTGTCATCTGTAACGGTAACATGTTGAAACAAAGCTGCATTAGTTTTGAACGAAAATCTTCTGATAGTACCAATATTTTTTACTTGTTTTATAACTAACATATGAATGAAACTGCTTGCTGTTATCCCATAATTTCATTAAATTATCATTGTTCCTTTCATTATTCCCCCAAAACTACAATGCCAGTTTTCTAAACTTCTCAAAAGAGAAGTGGTCTTATAGTGCCAATTAAAGCTTTTGAAAGTAGTCAAATGGTATGATTGGTATGAAATGGAAGCGTAGGAAGGGAAGACTATTCTGCGGAGGAATTTTTATCTTGTCTGTGTTCTTGGAATGTTATTTTTGGCACATGGGATAATATTTTTAAATACATAATGTAATAATAAATGTAAAATAGCCTACTATTGTGTCCGAAGTCTCCAATTTCAAAAACCGGTTAGATCAGAGAGATACATACGCACTGATATTAGTATTAAAAAGTAAGAGATACCTTTAGACTTAAAAAGAAACTAATAGTGGTCCGTATTTGAAAAAAGAGTCGGAAACTTAGAACTTGTTTCCGGATGCGGCTGTACTCTCCTGGAGGGGATACGTGGAGGTGAAAACCCTCGCATGCCGACGGATCCTACGTTCAAGAGTGGGAGCAAATCTGCCTCTTCCGAGGAATAAATATGCAAAACATTTACGCAACTAATGATCTCAGTAGCTGCCTCGTCTTCAATCAATAGGTGCGACCGGGGCTGTTTGACATCAGTTGGTAGTTTTTAATTGTTTGAAGCAAACCCGTTTGAGTTCTCACAAGTTTGTATTATTGGAAAGTACATTTATTAGGGTATATTTATTCGTGAGACCTTTATTGGCAAATGCTTAACATTAAGCGTTCGGAGTCGTCTAAAGTCATCAAGTCAAGTTGATGTGCCGTGAGAGTGTGAAGTAATAAATCAATTTCTAAATGAATAATTTTAACTGTTTTGTATGCACAAATTAATATGAAAAGGTTTATCACTAGGGGACGGAGTTTGATGACCTAAAACATTGCCAAAAATTATCAATAAACTGCTCTTTAAAAGCTTCAAAAATGACCTAAAAACAAAGAAAAATGACGTAAAAAAATTTGATCATAACCACTTCAGGTGACCAACTCAAGCTGTTGAGTATGTTACTGATGTAATCGAGGATCCTTACTTTTGTTAAAGTAAACTAAGCTTGCAAACCTTTGGTTTGGACTGTTCTTTAAAAGAAAATCTCTGCCTTTATTTATCGCAAAATTGGTCGAACTGACAATGGCGCCAATAGGTAGCACAGGAACCTTAGATTACACAGTACTCACAACGGCTGACATTACAATATATGAGCGAAGAAATCGAATATCATCCCACAAGGAATTATAAGGAATTCTGTGGTGAACATTTGTTGCACCTCGAAAATATTATTTGAAGCAAGTACCATTAAAATTATATCAAAATCGATTAAATCGGTGAAAATGCATTAAGAATGACGTAGAAATGTAAAAAATGACTTCTTAGACGAAATGGACGAAAAATGCAAAAAAAATGACGTATACAAATTGCTCATTTCATTTTGTGTGAACATGAAATGATTTTCTGTACTAAACGGCATTGTTTTAACGTGAAAAGAGAAAAGGGCATTTCATTAAAATTCACCCCCTATTTTTAATACCGTTTGATCTTCCAGAACAGGCTTACATTGGCAACTGCGGGAGCAGGTGAGGCTGGGTAAAACTGGTTACGCTGGCCGAGGCTGGGTTGGTGCTAGCTGGTGGGAGATACGTTGATGTGGAAGACATCGCAAGCCAGTGTGTAAAACGCCGAGTGGTCTTATCCAGCAGGGATACATCACAGCCACCTCCTGTGATAAAAAACGCACTACACTTACGGGGCTAATTACCTCTTTCATTTTTTAGATGACGCGTCCAGAAATACGAAATAATGAAAGGAGGGATCCTGTATCAAAGGGCGATGACCCCGGCGCGTTTGAGCATGTGAGGCATGCTGAGGCTGGGTAAGGCTGGGTGAGGCTAGTCGCTGACCCCGCCGGCGCGAGTGGGCAGTTGAGGCTAGGAGAGGGGAGGAGAGGCTGGATGAAGCTGGGTCGGTGCCAGCTGGAGGGGGAGATACGTTAATGGGAGAGATATCGCAACCGAGCGTGTAAATCGCCGCGTGATCCCAGCCGGCAGAGAACATCACTGCACCTCCCGTGATAAAACACGCGTTACACCTCCGGAAGTAAAAACCTTATCAAATTACGTGTCCGGGAGCACGAAATAATCAAGACCGGGAGAGATGGCTCAGGGCATCAACTGATGTCATAGCAGCCCCTCTGACCGGGAGATCCTAGGTTCCCGACGGTGCAGGATTTTCGACACTAGCTTGTCAGCTAGGTCGAATTAAATTCCTGAATGGAGGAGAATTCTAGCGGGCGGCTGTTCTGATCGGTAGTTTTCCGTGTTTTTTCCGATCAACACCGAGAGCCGGAGCAGTATCTTACCAAACGGGCCACGGCGCGCGCGCGATCTTTCCTACCTCTTCCTTGTCGAATCCTCTCCCCTTATACACACACACTAACACGCATTATACAAGCTTACATGCCGGGATAGCGGTCGGGAGCTTAGAGCTTCCGGCCGAGGCGGTGCCCCGCTGGTGGGAGATACCTCATTGGGCAAAACCCTGCTAGGCGACACGGGTCGGCGCCGGATCTTGCCATACACTGAGGGAAAGATCACCGCCACCTCCCGAGCAAAAACAAGCACTATATTTACAGGACTAACGACCACATCAGATGATCCATCCGGAAATACGAATTATCCACCGAAGAGAAGCCTGCGCCTAACCCCGGCGCGTGTGCGCAGGTGAGGCGCGGCGGCGCGCGCGCGGCGGCGGACCGAGCGGGACGCGCGGGCGTCTGCGCCTGACGGCGCTGGGGGGCGGCGGGCGAGGAGGCGCGGGGCGGTGGGCGCGCGCGTGGACGCGTTCTCGGAGCGGCCTGGCCACGGAGAACGCGCTCATCGCGGGCGTGCTGCGCGAACGGCAAGCGGAGCGCGCCGAGGAGGCGGCGCGCGCGCCGGAGCGCGCCCTGGACGAGCTGGAGCGCGACCTGCGCGGCCTGCGCGCGCGCCTGCGCGACGTCGAGGAGGAGCGCCTGCGCGCGGACGAGGCGCGCCCGGCCGGCCCGCACCAGCCAGGTGAGAGCGCTAAGGGAGGAAGTGGCTTCATCATCTAAGTCCTCTGGTTCTGCGCACGGACGCCCGCTCCATCGGTCCACACCAGGCAGGCGACGACGCCCTGCGACGAACACCGCTCGTCCATTGAACGGTAGTGATCCCTACGCTCCTGTGAGAGGACGAGTTCGGCCAGCCGGTCCCCACCAGCGAGGTGTGAGCATTTCACGACGATCAAAGTTCGTCATCTGTAATACACTGGTCCTGCTTATATGATGCCTGCATACGTACCGTCTAGGTAAGAGCACCACGCGTACAACACCGTTCGTCTTCTAGAAGCTACGAATTCCTGTCGTTCGCGCGCGGACAGGGCTCTGCCTGTCGACCAACCGGACAGCAGCAGCCAGGTAAGAAATTCTTGAACGAATGTCGCTCGACTCATGAATGCCACTACTTTCTCTCGACGTGCGTGCGGACTGCATAATGTTGTCCACATTAAAACTTATTAATTTGTTGACAAAGAGGACTTCAATTACTTTGTTGACAAAGATGACTTCAATTACTTCATGTTGACAAAGATGACTTCAATATTTCATATTGACATAGAGGACTTCAATTATTTAATGTTGAATTAGATAATTTCAATTATTTCATTATTTAACAATGGCAACAACACTTCATCAGCATTCCCACAACTCTTACTCCAAACTAAAAATATGCTTACAAATTCACTCAGACCCAAACGGGGAAACATCCTCTTCTCATTCTCCGGTTCGCCAAAAAGCAAGACGTGATAATACTATCCCTCAACTCACCAGGCTTCTATCTCCCAACTTCCCACTTGAAACTTCTTCCTTTTACTCAAAATAACACGTAATTCCTCAATAAAGTAACTCTTCACACCTGACACCCACCATTCGCTCCCCGTATCTCCTTGGAGGAAAGGGCTGCAGAAGACGAAACATAAGATCCACTGACAGTCTCTGACATTAAAAATGTAAAGAAATATTGCAAACGTAACATCACTACCAATATTCATAATATGTTCCTTTTTTTTCAATTTTTTTGCAACTACACACATGAATGTAAGCAAACACACCTGAGATCTAAATGAACATTATCCTTGCTATCTTATTTGAGTAGAAATAAAATAATAAAAATGTATAAAATGTAAATGAAAAACATGAAAACACATTTCACTCATTTTCGTTGTTGTTGCAGGTCGCTTGTTGTGGCGAATAGACTCTCTCGAAGAGCGCATGCGCACTGCCCAGGAAGTAGACGAACCTCTGCCCAGTCCCGTTTTCTATAGTGGCCCTCTGGGATTCAAACTGCGGGTGAGTGCAAACGTTAAATTTGATCGTCAGATGCAAGAAAGATGATAAACTCTGAACAACCTTTTCACATACGTTTGTAATATTACGCAAATACTTTACTTATTGTTCTCTTCTCAACATATTTTAAATAAACAGATTAATTAAAAAATTGTCACTTTAAAATATTCCAGGTGTGGAGAGATCAGGAATTAACAATAATTTATTCATGTAGATTTTTCTACGAGGGTAAGTCAATAAATATCTGCTCTCAATGTTTATAATTGATTACAACATACAAGATTTATAACGAGAGCTTTTTTGAACCCAGGCAGTATGTCGCAGCATTCTTATACCCAGATTAGTCCTAGCCTTTTTATACATTCAGAAAAAGGATTTTTGATTTAACAGAAATCATGTATGCATTACTACCACATCTGTAGGAAGAATGTTTGATCTCTTAAATCATCTTGTACCCTAAACAGATGGTAATTAGGCCTGACAAGCTCGAAACTGTACCCGAGAGTTTCTGATTTTGGAGAGTTTGGGTGGCGGTAGGTGGATGCGAGTTATCTTGTAACAAAAGAAAGTACTTCGATAACCCACCTCGGCGTTCTCATGCAGAACTTGCCTAACATGGAAATGATTTTTTACTACACCAATAGTCACTAATCGGATATTCACAATTAGGGCACAGACTTGCCCAGTATTGGGATCAGTAATTGATGAAGGTAGATATCTGAAACTTTTCTCTTCCTTCACCCTTCTTTGACTGCTTTTGAATGGTTCAATCAGTTGATAAACTTTACACCAAGGATAAACATTAGCCCACATTGTACTGAAATTCTTTTGAAGATGACCAAAGTGCAGATACTTACTAACTTGCCCTCGTAATTTTATATGCGGAAATGGATGTTGGGTCCATTTGTACAGAAAAGTCCCTAGGTTTATTTATCAGTGATTGTTACAATAATCAAATATTAGAAAAGATGCGTTGAAATACATTGCATTCAACTGAAATGATATATGTACGTATGTACCAGTTATAGTTCAACGTGAATGTAATACGTTTTTCTCAAGCATTAAGTCAAACTTGTGTACCTATTTCGCATATTCTCTCTCCGAAGTGCCCCATTCATCTATTAGCTACTGCAGCATGTGGGCCCGCGCCGGCCGTCTTGCAGGTGGAGCTGTGGCTGAACGGCCTGGGCCAGTGGCGCGACCGGCACATCATCGCGTCGCTGCGCCAGCTGCCGTGCGAGTGGTCGCCGCTGCTGCCCAAGCAGATGCTGCTCTCCGCCACCCTCACCCTCCGCGACCAGCCCGACCACCCGCGCGAGGTGAGGCGCAACTTTGCTTGGCCGATGGGTCGGTTCTTGGTTTTGAAGCAATGCTAACCTCTTGTAAATCGAAGCCAATCCTACACCAACTACATCAGTATAAATAGTAATTAACAACATAACATTTTTTAAAGATTTAAAAAACTATAAAATAAAGCAGCCATTTACTCGGCTTGTCGAAAGTTAGTGAAAATATGTTAAAAATATATTTACATGATAAACTGGTCCTCTTGAATGTTATTTTTTTACTTTCTAGCATACTACATGCGTAGTACAGAAACAGTTATGTAATGTTGCAGCGAAAAACGGCAACAGATTTTTCGGCCGTAATATTGGTAAATTGTAGGTTCCTGATACCGAAAAACAGATTTATCCTTGTTCTTTACAGATTGTAGAACTTCCTCTAATGATCTATATAGTAGATTTCACATATTGTGGGACTTTAATAGCGAAAAATTGGTTAAAGGCAAAACGTCTTTCCATCTGTCTGAGCCGAACAACGCTAGTGGCTGAACGGTGAAGAGGATTTTTACCAAAATTGACATTTTCTCGTCAATTAGATAGAAGTCGCGGCTCTTTGGATTTGAAATCGCTGTTTTAATTTTTGGGGTATGTTACTTGAAACCTCAATGACACTTTCAAATTCTTCTAAAAATGGCTGCAAATTTTTTATTAAACTTCACGTCTTCTGATGGATAGCAGAGAGAACGTTTAAAACGGAGCAGGTCTCAGGATCGTTTAAATATCTGAAATTTCGAGAATTGCAAAAGTTCCGTTTTTTTCGGCTCCTCCCTACAATTATAGTTTTAAAAACAGATTTTTCCTTTGAATAAAATCTGTTCTTCAAGATCGCATAAGTCTTATCGCAATCGTGGATGAACTGTACGGCAGCGCATTAAGTATGAACCAACCAACCAACCAACAAACCAACATTGTGTTTTATATATTAGATAACGAGTATACTTAACGCTTAGGCTGTTTTTTTAAAATTTCGCTAATATTGTATTTTTTGGATATTTATTACTTAGAATAGGATTTTGAAAAAATAAATTTTCGTATATATAATCCATGTGAAGCTGTCAATTAGTGGTAACACTTCCTTCAGAGCGTATCCAAAATAATGTGTATTGTAACATAATAAACCTGTAAAAACTGAATTAAGAGACTGAATTGACATTAAAATCTGTGTAAATACATTGCTCCAATATGTGGATGGGAAATAAATTATTATTAGTTAATTTATCTGCAGTCTAAATAAACTTATTGCATTGCTGTTTGGATATTAGCATCGAAAATAAACTGGGAACTTCATCACCTCATTTTGTCATTTTACGACCCATTTGCACAGTCACAAATGTAACCATTGTAAATATAACCACCATTAACAGTGCTTTCCATTAGGGATCTGAAATATAACATCTGAAACTGGATTAAAATTTTTGATTACAATGCACTTTGACCGAAAGGGGGGGTTTCTGTTCGATACACACGCAAACGTTTGGCAGTGAATACAGAAAAATACATGTACAGCATTTACTCGTTCTTATACTGAAGCGAATTACATTGAATTGTAACTTTTAAGGGATGATAATTTTCAATGAAATAACAAAAATATGGAACTTAGTTTGTGCATCGCAGAGTACTTTTCGCTATTATTTCTTCCTGCGACTATATTACTAACTTGCGGCTCAGCAGCGATTTCAACACCATTCTTTAATTCATCCTTCAATGCTTACCCTAAGTATACAGTAAAAGCTGTAAGGACAATCTTTGGGTCAAGAAGACATCTAACGCTTGTCTCGACACATGTTATGGATACCGCTATTGTTGCTGAATTGAATGCGGATGGCAGTAACGCCTTCTCAAGCATAATGAATTTGGAAAATCCAGTTTCTAGACCGATGATTCCTAGAAGTGACGAGGATGGATTCTATATATTATTAGAATCGTGTGATGAAAATGCATTAAAAAGACTTCTGTTGAATCTCGAAGTTGGAACTTTAGGTCGCGGGACTCCCAGAGCTCGCATGTTCATTCATGTAAGTTTGTATTGTGATGCAATCGCCATCGCGCAGCATTTGTGGAAAAAAGATGTATTGGAAGTAGCTTTATTAGTAAAACAAAATATGCTGTTTCTGTATGGACCCTTCGAAAACAAACTCTTCAGAGTTCCATATCATTGGCACTATGACAACGTGAACAATTTTTTTAAACACCTCGTGCGCAATGTTCATGGTTACCCAGTTAGAGTATCCCGATTCTTTACCCCACTGTACTCTTTTGTGAATGGCGCTTGGGAAGGAAGTCTGTGTTTCCGAGGGCGCGACATATGTGTTCGTGACACTATTCTTTCCCATCTGAATGCCACGCTAGTTGAAATGGAGCCTCTACAACCAGGATTCGGAAGACTCCTTAAGAACGGGACAACAACGGGCCTTACCCACGAACTCTTCACAGGTCGAGCCGATATAGCCTTTGTGCAGCGTTTCCTCTCTCCGGAGACCAGCACGTTATTGGACTATTCCCATTTCGTCGAAGTGGGCGGTTTCGTCGCTATCGTTCACCGTGCGGGCGAGATCCCAGAGGTACTGAAATTGATCTTGGCGTTCCACGGCCATATTTGGGCAATGCTTCTCCTCTCAGTTCTGCTCTTCCCGTTGGCGTGGACTGGTCGCGGGGAGGATCTCAGCCAGAGCGCCTTGTGGTCGTGGGCACTTCTCTTGCAACAAGGCGTCAACATGCGGGACGACAACATCCGCCGGAGATCAGCACTGGCAGTGTGGGCTGTGTACTCCCTGGTGATGGGGACAGCGTTCGTCGCGTCCTACACAGTCCTTCTGGCGTCGCGAGTGCGCCTAAAAGACGTGGACACCTTGGACGACATGGTGCGGGAGAACGTAGTTCTGTTGCTGTCGAGCGGCTTCTCCGACCGGGACTTCGACGGACGCCTGCACGGCCGGACGAAGCGGGCGCAGTCGGACGGCGGGCGCTTCCGGGAGTTGCTGGCAACGCCGGGCAGCGCCGCCGTCACGTCGCGAGCCGTCGCCGGCTGGGTGGTGCGGCAGGCGGCGTTCTCCAGCGGCGGGGAGGCCTTGCTGCACGTGGTGCGCGACGACCTGCTGGGCTTCGTGAGCGCGTACTGCGCGCGCCGCAGCTGGCCCCTGCTGCCCGCGGCGAGCCGGGCGTTGCGCCACCTGCAGGAGGCCGGGCTGCCCCGGCGCTGGCTGCGACACGTCGAGTTCCGAGCGACGCTGCGCGGGCAGATGGCGCGCCCCGCCTCCAGGGGGCCGAGGACGTTGAGCGCGGCGCACCTGCAGGGGGCCGTGTGCGTGCTGGCGGGAGGGGTCGCCGCCGCGGCTGCAGCCTTCGCCGGGGAGCGTCTGGCCGCGCGCTGGTGGAGCAGGGGGGCGCCGACAAGACGTTCTGGCTGGCCAACTGGCAACTTCCATCGTTTAGGTCGGTTTAGACGAAAATCGGCGTTGAGCTAGTTGTGCTCAAAAGAAGAAGACTAGTGTGCTAAACAGCACATACTTTCTAGCAATGTTTAAAAAATTTCAATTTTTGACAATTTAGAGTTGTAGAGAGTTGACTGGCGACATTCCTTAAAGAGACATTTCTTTTATCCCTGAAAGAATTTGATAAAATATTTGAAGCATTTTTTTCAGGCTTTTTGTTTATCAAATAGATTATTTCAAGCCCAAATTAAGCAAAAGCTTCTGGTTTTTTGAAAAAAAAAACAACTTTACAAGACCCTTTTAAAAGAGCTGATTTTTTTGGAACGGACTTTGTGTAAGACAAAAATCTCTAACAACAATTTTGTAGTATTTGATACATTCTTTGCACTTTTCGAAAATACGGAGAGTTCGCCGAAAATTGGACTAGAACCATCTTTTTACCGTCTCTTGATTTCCCATCTTCCCCGGGAGTTCGTCCTGTTTTGAATTCCACTATAGCAGATCTGAATTCTGAAGTAATTATGGGGTAGAAATTCTTCATCTTGGTTATCACGTATTATAGTGAAATCTGTGTCGTTTTACTGTTGGTGTCATATACATTTTTATAGTACCCTGTAGCTAGTATGTCAATCGAACGTCTTGATGTTATTTTCATGTTTGCGTTCTTGACTGATAGTATCCAGTGCTTTCCCACAGAAAGTTCTTTCTTTACAAGTCTGATTGATTTATAAACTTTCATTATTCTGTTTGTTGTCACAGTGATCAAATTTCGGCGCTCTTTGCGACTTTTACTTTTCACTTTCTTATCGAGTTCTTTGCACTCCGGTAGATATTTAAAAGTACGCATTTTTTCACGTTGTAGTAATTCCATGAAGTCTAGGTTAACTTTTCTCAGGTTGTCAGGAGTGTTTATCACTTCTTTCTCTCCTGAAGTTAAGATATGTTATTCAAGACTATTGTACTAGTGTGTTTAATTGTGAACTTGGCTGGTGCTGATTTGCCAAGTCTTGTATATTTTCTCTTATTACATGTTTTTGTACATGCGAAGAGAAAATTTAAAGAAAAAAGCTGGTCCCGCTTTACAGAAAAAATTGTTTTCCTCTAAAAAAATATCTATATTTACTCGCGAAATTACGCGAACACTATTCTTATTTTCGAACAATTGTGTATGACTTTATTTTAAGATATCTTTAAGGAACATATTTTATTTGGGAAACATATCTATCTTTAATATTATAGTTTTAGGAAGATGCCCTCGAAAAAATGCACTTTTGCAATTTTCTACCAATCTATAATTTCAAGGAAAATGAGATCTGCACCATGCTCTTTTAACACAAATATTTATTTCTTAATCTAAAATATACATTTATACATACAATATACATTTATGCATTTCATTTACCGTCTGGCTTAGTGTATATTCTTACTTCTATGACTATTATATATACACATCTATTTTTTATAATACATAAATCTATTCGAGATCTAAGCAGGGGGCTCGAGCTTGTCGTCTGGTGTTGTTGCAGATCTTATTTGTTGTTCCGCAGCCAGCTTCCTGTGGCATGGGGTGAGGAGGGCGCCTCTGCGGACTCTGTCCCGAGCTATCTGTTTGTACTCACGCGGGGCCAGGTGTATATTGTCGGTGTGCGTGTAGTAGCATGCCGCACTGCCATCAATGGCCTCAGTGACGATATTTTCCCTTAAAGCTTTTAGCTTGTGGGCGTCCGCAACTTTCTTTAGTGCGGCGTCACTACCCGCACCATTCTCCCAGAGCCCCTATCATAAGCGGCAGTACTTCGGCGCTGTGGTAACGGACGGCAATGAGGTGGGCGCGGGTGGCTTCGTATTTTTGGCGCTTTTCTTCTAATTTCTTCTCAAGTTTGCCCTCTCGTGCGTCAGCCACCGCGAAGTCCACCACGAGTGCCATTCTACCCCGCGCGAGTTCGAGATCAGGGCGATTGCTGCCCACCACTGCCTGATTATCCCGGAGCACCTGCCACCCCGCTGCAATGGCTTCGTTTTTTATAAAAAGTCCCGATGTTGTTGTGTCGGGCGTTCCATAAAGGTGACAGGTAGCGGCACTCCGTGGTAACGTGACCAATGTTCTCGGATGCTTGTTGCACATTGTTTCACGTACATTTCATTCTACAACTTTTGGTCACGTTACTTGGGCAGCAGTTGAGAGCTGGAGAGGAATTGATCCTGGCCGGAAACAGAAACATAGGTGAGAATTTTCATGTTCAGGCCAGACTGTAGGAAGTAAGTAGATTCCTTCCCCAACCCTTTGAGAGCGCTTGCATATATGCCTTGGGCGGGTTGTTCCAGCCAACTGTGGGAACGTGCCCTGTGAAAAGCGTCAGGTAGGCGTCTCACCAGCGATGACCGGTCCTTGGCGCTCAATGTCACTCTATTCTTATCTCCATTCCCCTCCTCCGTGTTCGTCCCCAGTCGGCAGGTGACTGCATCACCGCAGGTAATGGCGGAGTCTCTGAGGGCACCAGTATCCCCGGCGGTGCTGCTGCAGCCCGAACGGGTCGAGAAGGTTCGGGGATGGGACTCCACACCGGCGGCGCCGCCCGCACTTGCTCCTGCGTTTGGTATCAGCTCCGGGTCGACGGCCCCGACAGGGGAGGGAGTGCTAGGGGTCGCTCCTCGCGGCTCCGCTATGCTGCGCCCAGACGGGCCCAGCGGGGGTTTCGTCCGTTCGTAAGCAGGTAGGGGGAAGGTGTGGGGAAGTGTGATGTCAGGAGTGTGGGTGTTCCCTATTGCTGTGAATTTCCATTCCATTTTTAGGCGTTTGGATGCCTGCCTTACCCGCGACCAGAATGTAAGCGGCCCATGGCTGTGTTTTGTTCTTTCATTGTTTACATAGCTTAGGAGGGAAGGTATGCCTGGCTCACTTTCAAGGC